ACAAATTTATATTACATTTTTGAGTTGGTATATGGTAGTTTTTTGAAGCATTCTTGATAAAATAACTTAAAATCATCTGCAAAGTATTGTATATGCTTTCCAGTATTTTTTACCTACTATTTTGTAAATGATTATAGGTAACTTTATAATAGGTATAATTGGTTTTGGATTGCTGTTTTTGTTGATTCACTTATATGTAGTGTTTTCCCTTTGAGTCAGATATGTTTTCTTATTAACATTGAGTGGTTTAAACATTCGTGTATGTTGGGCCAGTTTCCATATTAAATTAGATATTTGCATGTAACTCTTAGGAGATATTTTATGTATATATGTGTGTGGGAAAACTTGATAAAATATTCTTCTGAATTTGTTTATAGGCTTCCTGGCAACACCAGAACAAAAATTGGCTTCATAACATTTGACAGTACAATCCATTTCTACAGTCTTCAAGAAGGTCTCTCTCAACCACAGATGCTAATAGTTTCAGATATTGAAGGTATATACATGTCATATATTTATTGAACTACCTTGGGAATTTTCAGTGTTAGAAATATTTTATGAATATTTGACAAATTAGGGATATAGTGTATGAATCTATTATGTTGAGGAAATTCTTGAGTGTAAAATCATAAGATTGTTAAGAGGTCTTCAGTCCAATCTCTCGTTTTATGGAAGTGGAAACAGGGTTAGGGAGGTAATATGAATTCTGAACAAGGTAACAAAAGCAAATTAATGTTAGAACTCAGATAAAATTTAGGCCTTTTCCCCATTCTTCCCATTTATTTATTCATAAAATATTTGAGGGCTGCACGTGGTGACTCACACCTGTAATCCCAGCACTTCGGGACACTGAGGTGGGAGGATTGTTTAAAGCCAGGAGTTTGAGACCAGCCTGGGGAACATATTAATAGCAAGACCCCCACCTCTACAAAAAATTTAAAAATTAGCCATGTAGGGTGGTGTGTGCCTGTAGTCCCAGCTACTTGGAAGGCTAAGGTGGGAAGATCACTTAAGCCTAGGCGTTCAAGGCTGCAGTGAGCTCTGATCGCACCACTGTACTCCAAGCATTTTGTCCTTTAAAGAATACCATCAAGAAAATGGAAAGACAACCCACAAAATGGGTTTCCAAAATTTGGAAATCATATCTGATATGGAATTTACATCTAGATTACATAAAGAATTCCTACAATTTAACAATAAAAAGACAATAGGTAGAAATGGATAAAGAGGCCGGGCGCAGTGGCTAATGCCTGTAATCCTAGCACTCTGGGAGGTCGAAGTGGGAGGACTGCTTGAGCTCAGGAGTTTGAGACCAGCCTGAGCAAGAGTGACACCCGGTCTCTACTAAAAATACAAAAGTTAGCCAGGTGGGGTGGTGTGTGCCTGTAGTCCCAGCTACTGGGGAGGGTGAGGCAGGAGGATCACTTGAGCCCAGGAGTTTGAGGTTGCTGCGAGCTATGATGACGACACTGCACTCTACCTGGGGCGAGGGAGTAAGACTCTGTCTCAAAAAAAAAGAGTGGATAAAGGATTTGAATAAATATTTCTGTATTCAATGTATAATATTCAATATACTCTCTATATAAATGGTTGATAAATGCATCAATAGATGCTCTACATCATGAATCAACAGGCAAATGCAAATGAAAAAACACAACGAGATGTCACCTGACACCAACTAGGATGGCTAAAATTAAAGAGCTGGACAATAGCAAGTATTGGTGAGGATGTGGAGAAATTGGAACTCTCATACACTGCTAGGGGAATGTGAAATGGTGCAGCCTCTGTGGAAAACAGTCTGGCATTTCCTCAAAAATTAAACATAGAGTTACCATATGACCCAGCAATTCCACTCAATAAATATATACTCAAGAAAATTGAAAGAATCATGTCCATACATAAATTTGTACATTAATGTTTGTAGCAGCATGGCCCCAAAAGTGGAAACAACTCATATGTCGATCTTGTGATGAATGGATAAACAAAACATGGCATAGCCATACAGTGGATGTTATTTGGCAATAAAAAAGAATGAAGCACTGATGCATGCCAGCATGGATGAATCTTGAAAACATCAGGCTTAGTGATAGAAGCCAACCACAAAAGACTACATATAGAATGGTCCTCTTTATATGAAATATCCAGAATATGCAAATCCATAGGGACTGAAAGTAGATTAGCCGTTGCCAGGAACTTGGGAGGAGGAAAAATGAGGAATGACTGTTAATGGTTGCAGGGATTCTTTTTGAGATGATGATAAGGATCTTGAATTAGATAGTGGTGATGGCTGTACAACTCTGAATATATTTAAAATGTCTGAATTGTACTCTTTGCAAGGGTGAATTTTATGATATATGAATTGTATCTCAATAAATCTGTTACTGAAAAATTTTGAATTGTAAAGGAAAAAATGGGAAGAAGCCTAAAGAATAGATGGTAGAATCTTTGTATGACAGCTAAAGTAAATATTTGATGTTTCAAATTATTTGTTGGTATTAATTTTACAAACTTTATAATAAGCCATATTTTTTATACTCAAAAACAATATAAAAATGTAAAACATGATTCTTCTCATAATCCTTTGTCACCCATGTTGTCATCCCAGTTTGAGTCCTTCTAAAGGGAATTTAGTTCCTAAGCGAGAATAAATGAGAATCCTGAGAGGCTCATCTGAAGTGGTCGGTTAGCATTCTGTCTGATTCACTTGATTTTGTAGTCCC